ACATGTAACTCGGTGATTTGCACACGTAAGTTGGTGGTTTGCACACGTAACTTGGGGCACTCTGTGGATTGCAGCCGTCGTAGGAAGTCAGCATACGCCTACTGTAACGAAACAGCTCTTGATGGAAGCCCCGTAACAGGAGGGATTTAAAACTAGACATGACCCTGCGCTAACTGCATAGTACGTTCCAAAGAACCATCCCAGATTTAAAATAAATCCCAGCTTTAAAAAGTCCTCAGGCTTAAAAAAAAAAAAAAAAAAAAAGAAAAAAGAAGAAAAAGAAAAGCCCCAGAAGCCCTCTGGCACAAGGACAGAAAGGCTTGCTTGCCTCGTATTTTGCTGATAAGATAAAAGGTTTAAACTGTCCGTGTTTGATTCCACAGCTGAAAAAATAAGCTAAGAGGTTTGTTCCTTTTTTAATTTCTCTGGCCCATGTTTCTCAGTGGAAACTGCATGTAGGCCTCAGCAGCACTTTCAGCGTGGCCCAGACCTTCCTGTATTTTCAGTCCTGTGTCACTAAGTCCCCAAAGCAGTTTGCTGCTGCCATGGTAGCTGGGCTGGCACCGTGGTCCAGGGCTGAGGCTTTGCCACACTCACTCCCAGCACAACCCCAGCCTAGCAGCGATGCCATAAATCCCGGTTGGACTGAAGGAAGTGGAAATTTGCTCTTGACTTCAGTGAGGCCCAAGTCGAACAAGGTACATGTAATCTGTTTTCAAAAATTTGGCTTTAGGAGCCTGTTGTTCCTGTAACAGAGCTGTTTTGAACACGGCTCAGAAGGCATTTCTACTGACTGCAACTTTCAAGCCAGGCCTTTGGGGATTCGCTTTTCCAGCTTTGCCAAGTTTGCCACATTCCTTGGACCACCAGGTCAGGCAGGAACACTCCCAGTTCTTCATATGTCCCCTTTGAAATAGTAACTTTCTAGAGCATAAGCTGGCTTTTACAGAAAAACCAAGAGTCATTAACAACATTAGCTTTAGTGGCAATTAGAATAACATATTCTTGACTGTTGGCCAGATTGTTTAGGTCATAGGGTAAAATATTCTTCTTGTGTAAAGCCTCAGGCCTTCCACTGTGCTGGGGGGAGAGACAGGAGAAAAAAAAAAAGAAAACCAAAAAGCACCTCAGCTCTGTTTCCGGACAGTTTGGGTAGAGCAAGGTGTACTTTCAAGGCTGATGTCTCAAACTGTATCCTCTCGTATTCATGCAATAAAATTGTTAAAAGCCATTGTTAGCAACGGCAGGTCCATTTATAAATTATTGGTAACAGTTTTGTGACATGCAGGGGTCTTTTCTCTCCCTCTAGAATTAATTAGCAATAATTTATCCTAAGAGGTGGTGCCTTCTGCTGCTGATGTTAGGCCATACCCCTGTGCTGTGCACAAGCGTCCCGGTGCCATCTGGGAGCTGTTGGCCCATGGTGCTGTGTCACCTTTGCAGGGGTGTTCCCTGGGCAAAATCCTCACAGGTCAATTGTTTTTAGCAATCTAGATAGAAACTACTTACTACTGAATCAAGTTCACTAATCTCCTAGGTCATGTTAAAAATAAGCTGTGTCATCAGTTAATACCCATATCTGTGCTTGATCCACTGATCTTTGGAGACCTCAGAAGGTGCCATTGGCTCTGGCCACCACGAAGCCCCTTTGTGTGGCAGTTCATGGACGCATCCCCTTGGAGCCAGGCCCAGCTCCAAAATCACACCTGCTCCTGGTGCCAGAAGTGCCTTGACCTCCCATGGTGACCCGAAACCCTTCGGCAGTGTGCTCATGCCTGCGTGCACCCGTCCTGCGGGGCTGCGCTGGCGCGGGATGCTCCTGCAGTTCTTGCCAGCAGGAAAATTGCAGGTTAAACTGGTGAACTGCTACCGCAAAAGTCCTCAGCGATGAATTCCTGAGGAATGCTCGTAGCCTGCTGTCCTCGTCAGGGAAACTGAGCTCACCATGGGAGCAGCTGGGCTGCTTTTGAAGCCGTTCCTTGCTGGATGGACCACCCTTTCCCATCACCACCCTGGCGCTCGCTGGCTGTTTCGCTCCCCCAGGCAAGGGGCTAGCATCTCCCTAGGGCCGTCCGCACCCTGCACGCCCCACTGGCAGCTTGTGGTCAAAATAGTGGAGACAAAGGTCAAAAAACCAGGAAACACCCCAGATTCTTCTCAGCGGTGTTTGGTTTCTACAAGGCAGGCACCAAGCATGCGGCTTGGCAGAGGAATCTGAAGACCGTGTTATTCAAAGGACAGTAATACTGAGGCGTGGCAGACATGTAAAATTCCTTCAACTTGCTGAAAACAGAAAAAAAATCTCATTTTAAAGCAATGTTGCATTTGCTAAATAATTTATGCAAGATTCACTGTTGTGTTATTTGACATACAGCTCTGTCAAGCAATGACACTTCTGAAAAGTTGCCTAAAGGATCAGATTTCCCATTCAGTAGGGAATTAAAAAATGTTTCTGGAATTTTGCTTTGCAGTCAGGAATCTATTTTCTTATCTCACATTGTACAATTTATTTTTCCTAAAGCAGTGTGTTAAATTATTTGTTATTGTTGGACTCTGTCAAACAGCTTTATCCCTGGTGTAGTCACGAAGTGTTGGAGTAAAACCAAAGATGAATTTGTCACAGTGTACACACCAGATCAGCCGGTCTTTAGGTTAACTGTCACAAGACAGTATTTCTGCTGAAAATATTAGTGAAGGTCCCTTAAACCTCCCCGGAGTTGCCTAAAAGCTTTCTTCTTTGTGGCAAAACCAGTTCAGAGGTGTTCTCTGCGGTCTCTGCTGGCAGGCGGCATGCAAGCCGGTGGCAGTTGGTTTGGTTAGATCAGATTTATATACTTGGACTATTTTTATAGGTTTCTGTCTTATAAAACCAGAGAGTTGACATTCTGATTTATTAACTATCAAATGGTCAGGACATACAGGCTTTAAAAAGATTGAATGAGGTAAAATGTTTGTGATTGCAGTCTGGGATGAGAGGCTGTGGAAAAGTGGGCCAAGTAAATATGACAGAATGGAAGTGATAATTTGAATATGTACATTGAATTATGTGTGAAGTAAGGCAAAGCTAGCATAGCTTCAAACGTAACTTACTTGGCGAAGCAGTCGTATAAAGAGAACCAGAATCGTGCGTTTTCTTGCTGCAACACATTTTTATTTAAGGAAGAATCTCTAAAGCATGAGCAAGCAGCATTTTATTGAATAAACATAGTTATGATGATGAGTTACAATATGGAGAGCTTAGTGAGTGATACTTTTTATAACCAAATCCTTAAATTCATTACCGCTGTGTAAGTGGCATATCTGATTTGTTAAGATGAACATAATATCTAGCCCTTAATGGAAACTTTGTAGTAGAAAGGTATGTATAATTTAACAGTGAAAGAACCTGAAAATGTGCAGATCAGTTAATTGCTAAGAGGGATGCTGTGATACACCACAAGCAGGCATTGATTTTTAATATTTCCATTGCAATTCACAGGGTACGTCACGTTACGAGTGCTCCATGGAAAACCGCAGAGCACATTTTACAGGGGCAGATTTATGCCACCACGCGCAGTGCAGAGGATGGTGTAAAATGTGCTCTGGCGGGGTAGTGGTAGCAGAGCCCTGCTAGCCTTTGGGTCTGAAGTGCAGTGCTTGCGGTAACCGGTTTTCATCTTTAATAAACTTTATTTTTCAGATTTGTTTCATGTTCTCAGCATTTGGTTGCCCTTAATCTTTTTGGCGCTGATCTAATTTTAGAAACAATTCATCTCTCTGTTCACTGGTGTTTCCTTAATGGCTTAAAACCCAAACGCATCCCGAACCAACAAGGCGGCATCACCCTCCTGCCCAGCTCTAGTCGAGCAGCTCCCGGGCCTTCGAGGTCAGCCAGCGCACGGAGGGGTAGGATCTCTGCTGCTGGAAAAGCCTGCAGTTCCGTTCTGAGAGGTTCCGGTCTCACCAGCACGGGAATGCAGGGTGTGCGAGTGCCCGCGGGGGCAGGTGGAGTGGTGCAGACGTAGCGCCTGCGGCCCTGTCCATCGCCCGTGTTGGTGGCACATGCGAGCAGAAGAGACGCAGGCATCTCTGTTTGAGCTACTGGCCACAGCCCTGTCGCCATGGCCAACATACCTAATGGATGCTTTCCTGGCTGGGAGGGCAACAGGGACTTAGAAGGGCTTTTTCACCTCTGCTGCCTCTCCGGAGGGCCGGCTGCAGTGCTCTACAGAGCCATTGGGCACGACTGGCTCCAGGCACGTCTGAGTGGCCACCAGAGCCAGGGGAGCGTTTGGAGTCATGGAGCCATGGCTGCAAGCCCACCTCTCGTGATGGGCCGCTGAGTGCGTGCTGGGGGTCTGACTGTGGCTGACTGCCTGTGCTTCCCTCCCGCTGCCAGCTGAGAGCTCCCTGTGCCTGGAGCCGCCACCTGCATGTCCCCAGGGTGCACGGCCCCCTGCACCAGGGTGTTCCTGGAGCTGCTGGAGAGCTCGGTCTCCCCATACACTAATGCACGTGACAACCTGTGGGGTTTTGGCGAGGATGTTCCGGTCACAGACGAAGACCAAAAATACCTGACAGACCTGAAGGTTGGATGCAATGCTGTTGGCTAGATCGGCACAACGCGGGCTGCCCTGCCCAGCAAAGGGCCTCTCCCTATTTCAGAGGGGCCTCTCGTCCTGGGGTGTACGTCTGCTTCGGGGGTCTTCAGCCAGATCCCTTTTTTCTTGTTGTTACTAATACTGGGGCTTGGAGGCGGTGGGGAGAGGAGAGCACTGAGAATTAAAATTCAGCACATGCCTTTTCTTTGCGGGCTGTAATTAATCTTGCCAATTTTTGAAGCTTTGAGAATCTGGTTAAGTGATAAAACACTAACAACTTTATATGACAGAGAGTTAGAGGCTTCTGCTGTACACCCACCAGAGAAGATTAGGAGAGAGTGTTTGCAGGATTCGCACTAAGCAGCGGAGAATACAGTTGAGAATTGTTGCACCGCATGATATAAAACCCACATTAATATAATGAAAGGTGTCGGGAATAATGTGAGAGCGGCTATAATTAAATGTATCTTAATAAGTGCAACATCCTTCTTAAAGCTCTTATTTTTCAGACCTCTCAAACTTAGAGAATGTTCTTGCTGTTGGCAGGTGGCCTGGGAGGAGAGCTGGAGAGCGAAGTGAAGGACAGCCGGGCTCTGGAAGAGAGGAACAGTGTGACGAGCCAGGAAGAGAGAAATGAGGAAGATGAAGACATGGAGGATGAGTCAATTTACACCTGCGATAACTGTCAGCAGGACTTCGATTCACTGGCAGACCTGACTGAACACAGGGCACACAACTGTCCTGGAGGTAATGTTAAACTAGCTTTACAGTTCTGACAGGTGGTTAGCTGGGTAATTGGACATAGCAACAGCTTGAGGCCTCAAGTGAGATTAAAGAATTAATAATGTAATTTTACAGTTAATGTAATTTTATTGTGGTGCCTTGGGTAGCCTTTGTTCACTCCTTTAATAAAATTAAAATAAAAGCAACAGCTTTCCAATTGGAATCTGTCAGTAATTACGTTAGACAAAAATGTTGTGGGGTTTTTTTAATGCTAAAAGTTTCAGGCAGGGTACTTTTTCCTCTCTCTCCAAATGTAGGAAGATTAAAAAAGTTAAACGACTGAAGTGTACAAAACTCCCAGGAAGAAAGGCCTCTGAACCCCATAAAAGAACATGACCATTTCAGAGATTAAAATTCATAGTGCGAGTTTCGTAATCCCACCCTAAAAATACACCGTTCTCCCTAGGTTATTATTGCATCGCCTTTTGAATTTTATGGAAGTGAGGACAGCATTAGCCTACGCTGATCTTGATTTTACTTGCTGGAAAGTAAGAACAAGCTCAGAGCATTGGTGTGAACAATCGCGACGTGTCTTGCTTTTACACGGCTGCCTTTGCAGGGCCGGCGGTAGCAGCAGGTATTCTGCAGAGCACGCTAAGCCGATTTACGGGGGTAGGAAAAGCTTTGCAGATTTTACCAAAGATTAAATAAAATCCAGATGGGGAGCACAGAGTATGTTCATATGTATTTAAATCAGAGATTCTAATTCTTCACCTTCCTGCGGTTGAACACTCTGCCATCACTTTTTCCTCCGCACTCATCTAACCAACTGTAGGCAGTTGCTGTTACGGCGGATGGATAGGTCGATGCTGGCAGAGGCAGAAGGGTTAGTTTCTCCTCTGGTGCGGCAGTATCCCACCCTCTTTCCCCTGAGTGCATACTCCTCCCTGGCCACTTAGTTTGTTTGGTAATTAGTCTGTGTTTTCTGATCTTCTTTTAGGGCATAACTAAAATGATGCTCAGCTAAGAAAAACCACAGGAAGCAGAGTACAGCAAGGGAGGGAGGGTCTTGTGGGGCTTCGGCTCGATCCGAGTCCCACCCCAAGAGCATCCTCCCGTCTCGCTCTGGTCTGCAGGGATGAGGTCCCCCCGCTCTCATTCCTATCTGCCTATGGGGAGGAAGGACAGTGGAACTGCCTGTGGATAGGGACTGCAATCCTACACGTGCCCCCAGGGCTCCCTGCTCAGTTTAAACACTAGCTGGGCTGAAAAACTGAATGTGTACAAAATTGAAAGGCGACTTCTTGCAGGGTCATTTCTTGGCCAGCTGACGGCTGCAGCATTGGCACGAGACTCCTGCAAATGGCATTCGTACGCTGCTGCAGGGTAGTAAGTGCCACGGAACAGAAAAGTTCTCCTTTTCCAAACTGGAAGACGAGGTGCACAGCCCATGTGGGCATGGGTCCCTTCCAGAGGAGCAGTCGCAGGGACAAGTCGTTCCCGATGCTGTCGCGTGGGGAGAAGGACAGGCAGGATCTTGGCAGGAGAGCGGGCAGCCCTGCAGCTGTAGGGCATGTCTCCAAGGGCTGTCCCTTGGCGGCCGCCCCTCCGGCACCGCCCCACCTCCTGAGTTGTGCTGGTACGGCTGCTCATGGTGCTGGGGCTGAGCCCTGGAAAAAGAGCGGCTGGTTTTGCCCCGGGTGCCTGCCGGGGTCTGGTTCGCGCTGTGGTCCCCCAGGACAGTCACACTGGCACAACTAGGGGAGCGGGCGCTGCTGGCGGGGACGCCGGAGGAGGAATGTAAGGTTACGGTGTTGACCAACAGCACCTTGGAAAGGAGCAGGTTTTATCCTGAGGCAAATATACGTTAAAGTCTAGCGATCCGGAGATTGCAGGCCTGTCGAGGCAGTCAGTGTTGTCACACCTCCGTTGTTGCCTGTCCTTGATGCAGTATTCTGTTAGTGAGCCTAAAAAAAATTAATTGTATTTTTTGGGACCTGTCAAATAAATTTGTTAGTACTCCCATTGCTAGTTTTTGATTGCAGGTAGTGTAATTTCATCTTCTCTTACTGTCTTCACATGTGCCGGTGATTTACCAAGACAATTGGTCATAAAAAGGCACCATCTAACCATCTGCATATACATGGAGTAGGTGCTAATTATCTCCACGTGAGGATATCCTTGTTCCAGAAAAGAGTGCCTGTTTTCCATTTAGTTTAATCCAGTGTCCTGAAGTGATTTAAAGTAAGTAGGAAGATTGCACTGATATATTCTGGAATGAGAATGTTTCCACAAAGACAATCTGGAATACTGCTTGGTATTTACATACGTTACCCTGAGGAAAAGACCCTTTCAGACCCACCAATTTGATAGCCTGAAGAATTTTTGTGGAAAGCATGCAAAATGCCCATCTTTGTTAGTCCAAAGACTTGCACCACCAGGTGAAAATCTGAAGACCACGTTGGGAAGCGTGGTATTTTTAAAGATACTACCCCACAGAATAAGCCGTTTTCCTGCGTCCTTAATTACCTGGCATTCCTTTTGCCTATAATGCCCGCCTGACGCATCGGAGGTTGCAGTGCAGTGCCCGACCTCTTGGCAAGCCAGGTTTTCATGTCTTAATCTGAGAGAGGGTTTTCAGTCGTGTCGACATGGCTCCAGATCAATACAGGTAATATTTGTAGTGATAATATCACCAGGCTGATAATACAACATAACTAATGACTTCCTTTGGGATCCTGAAGTTAGGAAGGTATTGTAGCTCAGGAGTGTTGCAGGATTACAAGAGATCACTCCAAAAATAGGATAAACCATCTATTTCACTGGAATCCCTTAGAAATTCATTACGGCGCGCTGAAGTTAAAATACAGTTTGAACGCAGCTGCTTTGACATGTAAGGAGGTAGCAAACAGCCATTTCCCCCCTTGCTTTATCATGTAGTTCAGGCTTGTTTCTTTGAGGACAAAACACCGCTGAAATCTAGACATCTCTGGTAGCGTAGGTGCGCTGCATTCCTTTTGATGTCAGTGTAGCAGGGATGTTCTCCTTCTGACAGAATTAGGTGCCTTTTATACCTTTTGCTCGTGACTGATGTCTGTGATTGCAGGTTGTAGGTTTCCAGTGTCTATGGGGATCTGAAAAGGGTCTAAATGGGGGCAGTTTGTACCGAAAGAACATCGTATTTCCTTACTGGCTCATGTCTTCCCTTGTCTCCCAGCTTGACCCCCCAAATGAGCTCTCCTGCAGCAGTCCTGCCTTAAACAGCTAGTGAGCATCTTGACAAATACTCCCAGAATAAAACCCCGCACCTAGTGTATACGCTGGATGTGCTAAGCTTTTAAAATGAATCTCAAACTCACTGGTATCCCATGCCCCCAGAACCGGAGAAGGCCGAGTAATTGCCATCGGTAGCCGGGGCAGTCTTCTTTAAACATTTCTGTGCACGCTGCCGTAACAGCGTAGGTGTTAGAGCACGATGCTGTCTCACGGCGGTAGTGACAAGAGGGAAGAGTTGCACTTGGATTTACAAATTATGGTGTCGCCCAGCCAGCACCAGAGGCTGCATGCAGCAAGGAACCATTCTGCAATAGAGCACTGTACGGTGGCTGGGGCCAAGCTGTTTGTTGTCTGACGAAAAGCGGCCAAAAAACCACAAGATTGGCCGTTTTGCCTGTGTGTTTTAATCCACCTGCATTAGCCTGGGTTTAGCTCCAGCATTTTACTGTGTTATTTTTGCTGCCTCCACTCCTGCCACCCCTTTCCTCCCGTGGGTCAGAGTATCTTCACGTAAACTCTTTTCTTCAGTTTCTCAACTGAATGTAGAGGGTTTTAAAACAAGTTAGTGCCTCAATGAAGTGGACAGAAGTAGGTTACGGTGGGGTCTCTGAGCATTTCATGAGGTCCTCTTCTGTTGTTGATAACTTTACAGGTTGTCTGTTTCAAACAGCAGCAGAGCTATATATGGATATTGCCAGCTTGGAAGCGGCTGATTTTTCTAAACTACTGTACGGTAGGAACTAGTTTATAATTAAAGTCTTGCAGTTGCTCCTTTTAAATGCCCTGTAACTTGTACACTAGGCTTACGTTTGAAATAAGGTATTATAACTGTTTCATGCTAGTGTATAATTTTGCATTTGCTTGTATTTCACCTGCTACAAAAATTACAATTGCCATGCAACTGTACGTGCGGGATGCTTATCCAGAAAACCACGCGCAGCAGCTTGTCAACAAGTGACGTCTCACAAATGTTTTTGTCAGGTGGCACTTTGTACTTCCCGCTGACAAAGCGAGACTTCTCACGTGTATTTCCAAAATTAGCCCTCCCCAAAATCGTAATCTTTTGTCGCACCTGATTGGCAAGTCAGAGATTTTCTGTCTTTTAGCTGCTGCTGCTGTTGCTTCTTTAAATTCATGAATTACTGATCATCCTCCGCAAAAGAAACTGAAATACAGTTGTGAAAAAGCAGCGTGGAAACTTAATTATACACCTAGTTTATACAGCTGTGGCTCTAATGACCTACTGGCCCTAATTAATGTGTTGTGGCTCAGTCTGAGTGCTCTTGTCCTTGCCAGAATTCTGCTCCTTTCTCTTAACCTGACTAGTGTTTCAAGCTAAAAAAAAAATAACAAGTTTCCTTTTTTTGTTCTTTTCTACATTGTCATGCTGAAATGCAGTTTTCCTTCTTTCCAGAGGTCATGACTGTGTTTTAAAATTGGCACCAGAAAAACTCGGTAGTATCACAAACCGTAAAAACATGGATTTTCCCTGGAGTCCTCGCTTCTTGCTGTCTAGATCTGAAAACGGGCACTGGGGCAGTGTTTTTATTGTCAGTCATTTGGAGGGCTCCAAGCGCAGGCTCCTGTCCTTACTTTGCCCCCGGCATTCCCCCCTCCAGGTGCAGGGCAGCAGGGTTCCCGAGGGCTCGGGTAGCTGCCTGGGCCGTGGTGCCCAGGTGCTTCATGTCTCCCTGGAGTCAGTACTTGTGCCTGTCGGTGCCCAGAGCTCCGAAAGCCCAGGTTACTGTAGGGCTGTGCTTGGCTGGAGTGTCCGGCACCTCCCAAGTGCTGTCACCAGACAGGTGACGTCTGCGTTCACCTGGAGGTTCCAGCCAGCCTGTGAGGAGGCTCGTTCCTGGCCTTCTGCCTACACCTACCAGAAAATGGTGTGCTGATGGGTGCTGGGCTGCCTGGCTTTCTACACAGGTGCTCCGTGACACACGTGTTTGTCACGTAGAATGTAAAGCCGATTCCCGTATCTGAATTTCGATCTGAAGTCAGCTAAAAGCAGAGTTGCAAATGGCATGACATCAAGGCATTCGGTGACCTTGCCGACACAGGGGTTTCGCAGCAGATCCTGTGCGGTGTGGTTCCCGAGCCACCCGCCCTGGCTCTGCACCCACGCGGGGTGTTCGGCACGCTTGGGTCCTGCCCGCGAAGGGCCTCCAGCGTAGCGTTCCAGGCACTGCCTGCCTCTGCGGATGTCGTGCAGAGTGTTGTGCTCCCTAACGGCGCTGCTCACCGGGCAGATCGGCGGGTCGTCCTGCAGGCGAAGGTAGGTGAGACCCCGGGCGGCTCCGCTGTGGCCGGGGCACGTGGCTCCGCGCTCAGCCCCTCGGCACGGGAGGCGTTGGTGGTGGC